TTTTTTAATTGATTGGGTTTATTCATTTTATAAATTGTGTTGTCTTACTGTATGTGAGTACTTTTAGGCTTATGTATATTATTTATCTCTTTTTATCTTTTGACTTTGTAAAGCACTTTGTGACCTTGTCTGTGAAAGGTGCTATATAAATAAAATTTACTTACTTAATTTACTTACTTACACAGTTTCATCCTAAAAAAATGCCTGGCACTCCAGAAATATACACGGAAGAAGCACATGAAAAGGAAGGCTGCAACAAGGAGCAGAAGACGTTTGGTATTTTCTGTGATGAACGTGGGTATCTGGATCAGATTGAGTACATCTTGCAGTACGGCCGCAGGAAGGGAGACCGAACCGGGACAGGAATCGTCTCCGTGTTCGGTGCCCAGGCCAGATACAACCTGCGAGGTTAGTGAGGTTTGTTTGTGTGGTATTTAAGAGATAATGAAAGCTTGTAACAAACAGTGGTGGAGGAAGTAACTTTATACAAGACATTTCCTTAAGTACGAGTAGCAGCAATGCTAGTATGGAGTAACCTATAAAAATAACGCTATGCAATTTTTACCTAAAGGTTCAAGGTGTTTTTGTCATATGTACAGTTAGGAAACGTGTTTCCCTGTTCTTACTTTGCCGTCCACTTGAATGCCACAAAATACAAATGAAATGCAAAGTAGATAAATAACACAAAATCTAAGGCACAAAGTCCAGGGCACTTTAAGCAGCGCAGATGCAGCAATATAGTAGAAAAATAATATACAAGAATATAAAAGAATGTGTGCTGCATGGGAGCAGCATGTGCAACAGTCATTGTGCGATTATGCATGTGCAAACTGAGAATGTAAACAGTACATCACATATTTCCTTGTAATAAGCTGTTTAGGAGTCTGATGGCAGAGGGAAAGAAAGAGTTTTTCAGTCTAGTGGTCCTGCATTTCACACTTCCGACTCTCCGGCCAGAGGGCAGAGAATTGAACAGTCCATGCTGGGGGCGGGTGGGATCTTTGAGGATAGAGGCAGCTTTCCTACGCACCCTGCAGCGGTAAATGCTCTGCAGAGAGGGCAGTGGAGTCCTGGTGATCTTCTCAACAGTTTTACCACTCTCTGCAGGCACTTGCGGTCCATAGCAGTAGTGCTGCCATACCAGACAGTGATGCAGCTGGTCAAGATGCTCTCAATGATGCAGCTGTAGAAGTTGCAAAGGATCCTAGGCGACATGCCAAACCTCCTCAGCCTCCTCAGGAAGTACAGCCACCGTTGGGCCTTCTTGACCAGCTGTGTGGTGTTATGTGTCCAAGTGAGGTCCTCAATGATGTGGATGCCAA